GAGCGGCGCGGGCGGCAGTAGCAATGGACTGGCTAGAGAATGGCGACTGGGATTCGCGGCGCATGAGCGAGCGGTAGCACTGTGCGATGGCTGTCTGAGAAGACCAGAGTGGCGATGACCATGAACCAGCCTGCCAGCGTGGAGCGTTCTGTAGCGTTGTTTCTTCCCACGATAGGTCAGCGAGGCGATCGGCGTAAAGCTCCCGGGCGCCCGCGAGAGTGACTGCCGCAGAAAGTGCAGCCGAAGCAGCAACTAGAATTTGAGCGGATTGAAGGACAGGCGGCGGGCGCCAACCCGCCATGGCGACCAGGTCAACTTTGCGAAAAGAGCACGGCGGCGCGCCAATCATCCTGTGGAACATATGCCGTTCACGCCGAGCGATGGAGTCTCAAGGGGGAAGAACTGCGAAACAGAGCTCAGAGGAGACAGCGCTGATTTGTTGGATAAGCGAACAGCTGCGTTGCTGCCGCTCTGCGCGAGCTGAAGCAACTTAACCCGCTGCCACCATTTTTGCCCAGGGGCGAGCCATTGGCAAGCCAATGAGGCCTCGGGTCCGAGAGAAGTGCCCAGGTACTTAGCTCGCCCGGCGACCGAGAAACCGCACCATTGGGGTCCGAGTTCGACCAGGGGCGCTCGCGCGGCGGCAATGGTGGCTGGGGGGCGCGGCAGGCCAGAGAGGCGCGAGAAAACATTTGCGGCGTTTCAAAGGGTGGAGCGCGATCTCCCCCGCAGCGGCAAACGGGGCGGTCACTTGGCGTGGCGCGTCGCGCGAGTGCGTTCGCAGGCCGATGTCGTCGGCTCATGCACCCAGGTAGCCAATGTCGGGGATCGGCGCGCCGTTCGAGCCCCCCTCAAACGACGCGAGGTGGCGGGTGATCGGATCCGTGGCTATCGCCCAAGCAGAGCACGACGCGCGGCAGCCCTGCGCCACTCCAGAGCCTATCGCGAACATGTCGTGGCGCACGCCGTCGACCTTGATGTAGCTGGAGGGCGCGAAGCACATGGCTTGGTAGAGGTTCGGGATGCCGTGCGGGAGGCCAACGTGCCCGAGCGCGACGAAGAGCCAGTCCCGCCCCAGGGGCGGGAAGGCCGCTGAGAAGTCTAAGCTGGCGAAGGTGGGTTTGCATGCAAGAGCGCCTGGTAGCCGCCCAGCACGGCGCATCTCGGCGTCGAAGCGGACGATGTGCCCGGTGAAAATGCGCCCCTGGACGAAGCCCTGCTGGGCGGTATGGGTGTGCTCTGACACGGCGCCCTTGGGCGTGTGGTTAGCGGCGCCTGCGATAGCTTTGATGTCCGTGTTTTTTTCAGCGAGAAGGGGCGCGTGTCCTCGGGCGCCCTGTCCGCGGCGAGCTCGCCCCGTGGAGTATCGCCCATCGGCGGGCAGGCGAAATCGGAGTCATTCAGATCACGGGTGTAGTACTGGCCCGAGCAGAGGAAGTATGAGAGGTCCTCGGGCATGTCGAGCGAGGCGTCGTGCGCGAGCCAGGCGGCATGCGGCAGAGAGTGGGGCCCTGGGGCAGAGGGGGCCTCGATCTGCGGCTTGGCAGGCGCCCCGATGTCGAGGAGGTCGCCCTTCGGCATGCGCGTGTGGATGTAGTTGGTATCCTCGGCAATGTCCGCGCGCGCCGCCTCCGATGGGCCGCCGGTGTGTGCGTAGAGCAGCTGCGATGGAGCTGCTCTCTCTCTAGCGGTCTGGGGCCCATCAGGGCCTGTGATCTTGATTCCTTGGATGACGAGGCGGCGTTTCCAGGGGGCCCAGAGAAGGGCCCGACGTTGGGTGGGCCGCATGATGAACCGTGGCTTCTCTGGTGGCAACGCTCCTTCTTGCCCCTGGGGGCGCCGAGCTGCCTGCTGGGTAAGAGAGAGTTGCCTGGCCTCGAAGTCGCGGCGCAGCTGCGCGGCCTGGCTGGCGATGGCGATGGGGTCGCGGAGCGTGATGGTGCCATTGTCGATCGAGAGGTACTTGGCGCCCAGGGCGGCGACGGCGGCGACGCGGCGAGCGAGTTGAAGACCTCGGCGCCAAATGGCTCTGGAGATGGAGCGGGCAGCGAGGGCGCCCCCAGCAATGAGGCCCGTTTTGTTGGCGTCACCGGTGGTCTGTCGAACCCAGTCGCCGCGAATCAGCTGCGTGGTCACTGAGGCGGTCGTCCGAAAGTAGTGTCGCATCGCGTGTAACCTTCGCGTCGATGGTGAGCTCGGTCGTGGCGCGCGAGGGGGGGCTGATGAGGATGCGGTCGACGGTGGAAGCGGCGTAATCCGAGCGATTGAAGCGCGTCGGGAGGTCGGTCTCGATCCCAAGCATTGAATCAAACAGGGCTCTCCAGAACGGCTGCCGCCGGCGCGTGCTGCTATCGAGGCCAAGGCGCGGCCCCTGCGGCCGCGGTTGGACGAAGCTCTGTGGTGGGCGACTGGCTACGTGAAAGTCGCCGATCGCAACGAATGCGCGCGCGTGGTAGTTCGCCTGCGCCCACGTGCGGTTGAGCTCCCATGCCTGCTGTTTTTTTTGCGGCGGTCGTCAACCGCGATGTCGTGGTTGTGGACGTTCATGATAACCGTGGTGGCGTGCGTGACGGCGCGCGTGCTCGTGAGCTGCTGGGCGCGCCCAGGAACGATTTCGACGTGGTCGAGTGGGGTCTGATGCGGCTGGAGCTGTTCCAGCTCCACCGGCGAGAACCACGGAACAAGCGTGGCCGCGCCTCCCGTGGAGTTGTCGCCGTCGGTGCTGCGGAACGCCGGGAGATAGACTTCGTCTTGGGTGAGGCTGCGCGTCGACCCACGTGCGGAGCAGTGCTTCGGAGCCATGGACCTCCAGGAGCGTGATCACGCACTTGCGCCTCATGTACTTAGCGGGGGCAGATTGTTTGCGACGGCGGGGCCTGCCCTTGTAGCGCATGAGTGCTCGCGCGTTCCATGTGGCGACAATGGTCGGCTCCGTGGCGGCGTCAAATTGCCCGGGGTCCCAGCGGTGGTTCGGAGCGCCGCATAGCTGCCTCCGTGTCAGCGAAGAGCGCCGGGAAGGGGGTGAGGCTGTTGCCGCGGTCGATGGACTGGTACTGAGGGTGGTCGAAGGCTTGCTCGTTCCACTGGAGGATGGAGGGGTCGTTCTGGCCGCGGGTGATGATTTTGATGATGGGCATGGAGTTGCAGTGGATCTCCCCCTTGGTGCGGAAGGCTCTCCACTGGTGCTGGCTGCGTGAATAGAAGGAGCTTCTGGGTCTGGACTTCCGTTCTGATCTGATTGGAGGACTTGGCAGGATTGATATCGATGTCGACTGGCTGGCCCGTGGTATCGGTGGAGGTACAACGCCCCCGGTGCCTGGCCGAATTGCGCATGGCGCGTGAGAGAGCCATGGCTCGGGGCACTGCGACAGCGTTCTCCTTTGACTTGTAGGAAACGTCGGGAAGGCTCGCCATCTCCCAATAGTTCCACACGGTTCGATTGCAGATTGGCTTCTGCGATCCATCCCTGGAGGTCGTTGAGCAAGACGCTCGGCACGATGGGGCGCTGGCAACCCACAGAGAAGAGGGTGTGATCAGGCTGGCGGTCCCGCTCGGCGAGGCGGCTGAGGTCCGCGATCGGTGTCTGCGCTTCAGCAAGGGCCAGGGTGTCGCGCATCTGGTCGATCTGTTGCCACATGCGCTGGTGCTCAGCAGCTTGACGGTCTTGTTCTCTGCAGGCGCGGGCGGCTTCGTCCCGTGGTACGTCGACCCGGCGGTCAGTGGCAGTAACTTGCTGCTGTGCGAGATGGCGGAAACTGTCACGAGATCCGGCGAGAAGCTGACCGGTTTGCGCTTGACAGCGGGGTGGCGGCACTAGCAACTTGGCGCTGCATAAGTTCACGGAAGGCGACGTCTAGGTCTTCGGGTGTCCCAGGAAGTGGCCCATGTCGTTCAGGTTGTGTATGATGTGGTTCGTGTTCAGATCCAGGGGTGGCGTGGCCAACGATTGGAGTGGCTGGTACTGCGTCGGGTTGATATGCGAAGGTGGGGGCCAGTTCAATGTCGCGTGCAAGTTGTGCGGCGGCAGCGGGGTCCAGCTGGGCGATGGGTCAGCGGCGCCCGAAAGGGAAGTATGCTTAGCAGGACCAGGCGGTGGCTTAGTGTCCTCTTCCATGGCCACGGCGGGGGCTTCGGGAACGGCACTTCCTCCCGATCAGGCTGTCCTGCGGGTAGGGGTCGGCGGCGGGCGTGCAGTACTCCGTCCTGCAGCACGGATCTGCGGTTGTGGAGCACCTGCAGGGCCTTGACTGCTGAATCCTGCATGGCCGTCGTGTTCGAGGTGGTCGCGAGCAGTGCGTCGGCCATCTCTGCGGGGCTCTTCTTTTCGATGCTGGCGGTCATCATGACGTCGTTCGTCACGGCGAGGATTTTTGCGGCGATGGTGTCGATTCTCTGGGCGGCTGCGGGACGTGGAGCCGTTGGAGAGGTCATCCCTGTCGGAGGATACGGCGGACATGATGTTGAAATACAGACAACTGGCATGGGGGTTGCTGTTCGGCGATTCGCCACAGGCCAGGTCCACTACGAAACCACTGCGTACTTGTCTGATTTTTGTTGACTGGCACGGAGCGGCACACGATGGGGCGATATGGATTCCCGGCACAAAGCTCGATGTGAGGGTATGGAGACTCGGCACGGGGCGCGAGGATGTGGATGTTCGGCGCAAGGTTCAGAGCGATATGTATGGCGGCCTGCAACGCCAGGACAATCAGCAGGAGTGGACGGCAGCTCGTCTCTGGGTGTGGCAGCGAAATGGTGGGAACTGGCCGCGGACTAGCGGTATCCACGCTGCGCTCGCGACGGCGTGCCATCTTGAGCCAATATGGCTACGGAAGGAGGAGGAGGAGGGGGAGGAGGAGGAGGAGGAGGAGGAGGAGGAGCAGGAGGAGGAGGACGAGGAGGACGAGTGTGCGTGAGAGGAGGAGGACAGGAGAGGGTGGGAGGGAGGAAGGACGACGAGGATCGGGAGGAGGACGACGACAAAGGCGACGGCGATGCTCCTGCATCCCGCTGTGGCTCGTCGGCGGCCCGCGCGCCGTGCACGGGGGCGCGGGCGCGAAGTCGACATCGGAGTCGGCGAAGGGCAGCTCCGCCAGCAGCGGGAGCGATGCGGACTTGGACAGCGGCGGCCCGGGCCCTGGCCCGTGGGGCGGGCGGGAGGCAGAGGGTCGTCGGTCGGTCGGAGTCGGCATTGCAGCAGTTTGCACGCCGTCTTGCGGAAGGCTCCCAGGCATAGGTACTTGTTAGGCTACCGCCACCCTCCCTGGCGACGGGAGGCCAAACCCTGAGCCCCAGGCGGAGGTAGGAGATGCATGACCACGGGGGGTCGATTCCGAACCAGCGAATATGGCACCACACCGCTGGCCCCAAGCAGCGCCGCCGGCAACAGGTTGTTTCTCCTCTCAGCATCCTCTTCCTTGCCTCCCTCCCTTTCCTCCTGCTCCCTGCCTGCTGTCTCCGCCCGGCCCCCCTTCTGCCTGCCCGCCCGCCCTGCTGGCCCGGGCTTCTCGCCTGCGCAATCGTCCTCGTCAGCCTGGTTCTCCCCTCCTCTCCACTCTTCGCCGGGCAGTAGAGCCTACCTGGGAGCAACGCGGAGCCATCGCTGTGTACATTCGGGTGCTCTGAGCTCCTTCTCCCCTTTTACTTTCTCCTCCTCTCCTCCGTACGCTTCTGGCTCGCTGATACTGGTCGGCCTAACTGTGCTTCCGCGTTCTGCATTTTGCCGGCTGTGCCGGGCCAGGGGCCCAAAGGCGCCGTCCTCATAGGCGGAACACAGCCGCTCGCTTTGGCACGCTCCGCGCGCCAGGGAGAAGGGAAATGCCCAAATACGACGCCTTACCACCTGACCACCTCCCTCTAAGCTCAACTCCATGGGCACCACAACATTGAGGCCGAGCGCCGGCCGCGACAAAGAAAGGAAGAGCGGGAGGTTGGGGGCGGGGCTGGGCGGGGCGAGGTGCCGACACGCGTCCAGAAAGGCGGCGGGGGGGGGCAGAGCACAGGATACGCTGTGGTTCCGCGCGAGACCCCCCGTGGGCACAGTGCACAACGAGGGGGAGGGAGGGCGACGACGACGAGGGGGAGGGAGGGCCCCTCCCAGGAGCCTCCGACCAGGATCCCGGAAACTCTCTGTCAGTAACCCCGAACCAAGGAAGACCTCGCTCATCCTTGTCCTCCTCCCCACTAACCCTCATCGCTCCTCATCTCCACCTCAGCTCATCCTCCCTCTCGCTCACCCTCCTCGCTGCACTGCACCTGCTCAGGAAGCGCGCGCGCGTAAACTCTGACACAGATCTGAATGACAAACGAGTTGGTCTTTGATGCGCCAGGACCAACAGATGGTGTTGCAGTGCTTTGTCGACATGCGCGCGGAGACGCGCACTTGTCGCCTGCATGGTGATCGTTGGCAGGGTTGGAGGTGTCTTCGACATGTGCGCGCGCGTGTTGTGCGCATTGTTTCATTGAACAGTATCGCGCAACAATCAATGGCTTCTTATGGTTGCGATGAGTGTGAGCGCCTAGACATCCACGAACAGGCAAAGAGAAACACAAAAGTTCGGCAGGTCCTGCCCAAGAGGTTCCCAAAACGCCCCAAGAGGCCCACAAGAGGCACCCAGGAAGCCCGAAGAGGCCCCCAAGAGGCTCTCGAGAGGCTCCCCAGAGGCTCCCGCGGGACCTTCAAAATTCCTCCCCAGAAGCCCCCGGATAGCTTTCCCAAGAGACCCCAAGAAGCATCCCGGATGACTCTGGCCCGCGTCGGCGTCGCCGTCGCCGCCGCCGCCGCCGCCGTCGGTGTCGTCCCCCCTTCAGGGTCGGCGGCACGGGCCGTAAGGCCTTCGCAATCTGTGAACACCGCTGGCTGTCGAGTGGGAGAGTTTTGCTGGCGTGCGCGCGCGCCTGTGGCCCCGCACGGTGTGCTTCGGCACGGATTCTTGCAGCACGCAGCGTGTGAGATCCACGCGTGCCCCGCATGGCTTATTTGACGAGGACGACAATGGGGGAGGTCGATACGGATCGGCTGCGAATGATAGTACCTTGTCATTTGAATGAAAGGTCGTGCAACATAAATGCGAGACATCATTATGGAAAGCCAGCCCGATAACAGCCTCCAGAGAGTGGTAGTCCATATTTTGTCCTCAGGGCAAGAGAACCTGCGCGGTGAAGTCTACGGGGTGCAAGCTACTTTGACTGTCTTGAACCTGTCCTCCCCACTGCTCGTGCAAACGTCCCACCCTCCCACCTGCAACTTGGTCGCAAGACCTCGTAAGACCGTCACGGTAGGTACCAAATGGCACTTGGCAGCGACACCGACGCCGACGACGACAGCGACGACGACGACGCCGACGACTACGACGACACCGACGACGACTCCGACGACTTCGACGACGAAAACGACGACGACGCCGACGACGACGACGATGACGACGACGATGACGACGACGAAGAAGACGACGACGACGACGGCGGCGAAATAGGAGGGACGACGACGAGACGCCGACGACGGACGACGACGACGACGAGGGAGGAGGAAGGACGACCACGGCGACAACGACGACGGAATCGACGACGACGCCAAAGAGGACGACGACGGCGACGACGCTTGAGAAATTAAAGAAACACGAATCGTGAAATCAACACGACCGTGATTGAAACGAATGCGTAAACTTTCACTCACATTTACACATAGAACGCATCGCATGGTCACATGTTACAAGTTGTCGTTTCGAAATTTATGCATCCATGAATGTCATGACCGGCTGCGCAACCGATATGCCCCAGATACAAACTTGCTCTGCAACCAAAAAGGCTTGATGGTGGCCCGCCATGATCTGATGGGGTTTGACTTGATTTTAGACTTCACCTCGCGCGGGCGTCGGACGGGTAATCGCTACCAGCTCTGAACACCGACCTCCTCAAGCTGTTCCCGAGTTGCCTCGAAATCTGGAGGCCGACAGCCGCAGCAGCCCTAATGAGACATGGGCGAATGTAGGATCTGTCACCTGCTAATACGAAAACGTCTAAGGCTGATGCCAAACAAGTGCGCCTTGCTGGACATGTGATGATTGGGCACAACCACGTACGGGTTTTGGCAACCGATCCTAGTGACCAAGACGGACAAATCGTCATCACTGGGAAACCGATTCGGCCATAGACAGAGCCACACGAAGGAATAATTGAGTGAAACGCACAGGTGAGCAAGTTGACGTGCTTGGGCACTGCGCGACGGATGCCATCCTGTGCCCAAGAAGCGGCAGGAGGCAATAGAGCACAAGAGGCGCAGGATAAGCGTTGGACAGCAAGTTCCGGCGGCTCAGGCCCTTAGGAGGCGCAACAAATGGAGCAACAGAGGAGCAAGAGAAGCCCTGGTCGGACAAAACTCTGGCGGCTCACGCTACAGACTCAGAAGGTGGACCGATCTGCCAGCCCGGGGCCCAGCCGAGGCGCAGTCCTCGAGGGAAGAGCGACTCGCTGGTCGTCAGAAGTGCACGCAGGCCCCCCCCCCACCCACCCCGAACGCGCCGCCCCGTGCCTCCTCCTGCTCATCGTGCTTCCCCTTCCCCTTCTACCTACGGTGAGGGCATCGGATAGGGAACCCCAAGATCAGGAACCGAAGGTTCAGAAGCCGATCGGGCTCCAACCGTGTATTGGCCATGGATATCACCGCCGCCCCAGTCTGAAGCCTCCTGGGCACACTCCTCAGCGAGCGTCCCAGCCGTCCTGCTCCCTGATGCAGCTGCTGATGCTCCTCCTGCCGCTCCTCCTGTCGCTCCTCCTCCTTCTCCTCCTCCACCACCTGCTCGTCCTCCTTCTCCTCCTCCGCCTCCTCCATTCCATATTCTTGTCGCACCCCATTTATATACAACTTCTCCCAGTCGCACCCCGAGGCCAGTTTTTAGGGCGGGCCGGGCGTTTCGCCCAACACTTGCAAGAGTTTCACGGATTGGAGGCAGGCCGTCTTCAAAATATGGCTCTCGCTCGCCTTGGCGCGGCGCACATTCGTTTGAGCAAATTGCAAAATCTTCACGGATTGAGGGCGGGTCGTTTTCAAAATGTGGCTCTCGCCTTAGCGCGGCGCACATTCGTTATAGAACATTGCAAGTGTTTCACGGATTGAGGGCGAGTGGTTTTCAACACGTGGCTCTCGCAATACTCTTGCAAGAGGATCACGGGTTGTGGGCGGTTCCTTTTCAACATGTGGCTCTCGCCTTAGCGCCGCGCACATCCGTTTACTCAAGTCAAGAGAGTTTCACGTACTCCCACCATCAACGTACCAGAAATTGTGTGTTGGATGGATTCACGGTTATGCGGGTATGATGCAGGATCGTCACGACGCAAACGTCAGGTTGATCCGTGGCGTTGGAATCCAGAGCACAATGTTTTGGGATGCTTTAGGGTCTTCAGACGGGTGTCTTCCAACGAGGCAGTTCCACCAATGGAAATGAATCGTTGTAGGGGCCCATGAAGAGGGAGCTTGGAGGGAGAGTTTACTCCAACATCGTTGATGACTCTTGGGTTTACACTGGTCCTCCTCCTCCTCCTCCTCATCCTCATCCTCCTCCCCCCTCTGCTCCTCCTCCTCGTCATCGTCGTCGTCCTCCTCCTCCTCCTTGCGCTCCAGCTCCTCCCTCCCAACCCTCCTCCACGTCCTCATCATCACGCTCCTCCTCCTCCTCCTCCTGCTCCTCCTCCTCCTCCTCCTCCTCCTCCTCCTCCTCCTCCTCGTCTTCCTGATCTTGCTGCTGCGGCGTCTGCTGTCCTCTGCCGTCTTCGTCCTGCTCTCTCCCTCTCTCTCTCGTCCTCCTCCTCCTCTTCCTCCTGCTCCTCCTCCTGCTCCTACTCCTCCTTGCTACCACCACGCCGCCATCCCGCAGTGCAAGTGGTTGGCGCCCTCTGGACCAATGGAGGTCCTCCCCACCCTGGGGCTCAGAGCGGGGGTGCATTTGAGGGATCCCTGGCTGCACCGACGGTGGTCAAGTTTCCCCCTCCTTCGAGTGACCTCCCCCTATGTCCACGAATGCACTAACAGATTTCTCCATCAGGAAAAAATGTAATACGAGAAGAAAACAGACGACGAGGTAGGGACGGGCGCTCACGAGGAGGGATGGGGAAATCGTAGATGTAGGGAGAGGGAGGGAAACGAGGCATGGACGTAAGGGAGCATGGAGGAGAGAGCGAGGCAGGCAGGTAGGTATGGAGAGGAGCAGCCGAGGAGAGAGAGAGAGCAAAGGGAGAGACGAGGAAGGGGAGGCGGCTGGGATCCAGAGACAGGCAGCATGGAGCAGGGAGAAGCAGGAGGCCGGCGGGGGGGGGGGGGAAGTGGGCCTTCTGGGTACAAGAGGTTCTGCGATCCGACATCGCGAACAAAACGACAACCGAAGCTCTGGATCCAGCCTCTCTGCTGCACTTCTCGGGCTGGGATGGAGGAGGGCATCGACCGGACACCCCCAGGCCCCCGACGTCGCGATCTTGTCACAACGTCGACCCCCGGAGGTCTCGACCCATCCCTCGAGTGAGGGATCGACTACAGACTTGATCTACCCCAACCTTGATTTCTCGCTTCGAATCAATGGACAATGCGTAGAACTTTGCTAGACCTGTGAGAATTAGACGTGTTCGTCTATAGCTTCAACATGAAAAAACAAATGCTGGGGTACCTCAACTCTGAAGTCGATCCCCTGCTCGAATTCCCCGGGACCAGCTCCTCAGAGTCGTTTTTGTCGACGCTCCCGGGGCCCGGCCAGGGCGGCGACGGCCACAAACCTCTTGCCGTGCTCTCTTTGTCACGACGCGGGACGCGGGGCACATCGGGGGCCCCCTCCTGGTGCGAGCAGAAGGCGACGACCAGACCTCAGAGGACGCCTCTTTTTGGATCGGGGAGACGTAAGACTCGGGTACGGGGGACTCGGGCTGGCCTCGCGGGGGCCATCATAAAAATGGCGAGGCCCAATCTGAAATTTGAGGCAGGCTCCCGCTGCAGACATCCCACGAAAACGGGACCGTCAAAATCCAGGACGCGCTCGTCAGAAACAAGTCGGCAAACCCGAGTTCTGGCTTACTCGAGTCTTACGTTCCCCCGATTGGAACGCTCAGAATGGGTGCGGACAAAAATTGGTCCGATGCTCAACCTGATCCGAAACCGACAGCGGCCGCTGTTGCGCAGGCGGCCTCGTGTAATTATCAACGTCCGCGGCGACGCCGACAGCGAACTGGGCCAAAACATGGGCAGGCGCTGCCGTTGCTCTGCGCACCAATTGATGACGTCCGTCACGCTTCGATCGTACCTCGTGGGCGAAGAACATTTCAGGGGCCCCAGGACACACATTTTCTGGGTTTCTGCCTTCCCCCCCCCTCTTCCCATATTTTCCCATATTTTCTGGGGAATCGAAAATTAATTGTCTGTGTGTTTTTTCCTCTCCTGAAACATATTCGTATCCGAGGCCTCGCGGGCCGGGCCCCTGGGCCGCAGCCCCGCGGATACGGGGCGCCCGTGCGCCCGCGCATCCACGGGGTCGCGCCCTGGAACCCAGACCGCGAGGGCGCGGATAGGGATACAGTCAACCCGCATATGAAGGGGAACTGGGACACACAAATAAATACACACAAATAAAAATATTCCCCATATTTTCACAGATTTTCTGGATTTTTGTCTTGCCCCCCACTTCCCATATTTTCCTATATTTTCTGGGAGTCGCCGATTAATTGTGTCTGTGTGTTTTTTCCTCTCCTGAGCATAGCAAGGATGAGCAACCTTCCAAGGTTCCCCTTGCATCCTTGCTCCTCTGGCCCCTCGTCAGCGACCTTCGCTGGCCGGCCTCGTCCGAAAAACGTCTACACATGGCCATCCCAAGCCCTTGCATCCTTACCGCGCATCCTTACTATACGCGTTGACTCTTTCTTCGGGGATCTACTGACCCGGGTCAGTCCAGACCCGGGTCAGTCACGCCTTATAGGATCCCTCAGGATCCTGCATGATCCTGTCGGGCCGGGCGAAAGGGGGGGATAGCAAAGGGGGGGGTGAGAATCAGCTCACGTAGCTGATTTTCCTGGCGCCTCCCGGCGCCGGGAGGCGCCCATGTATCGAGAAATGGGCGCCTCGGTGGGGCCGAAATCAGCTGCATTCAGCAGATTTCGTAGCCCCCCCTTTCCCGATCCCCCCCTTTCGTCCGGCCCGACCCTGTACCCAAGCCCGGGTCAGTGCACCCCCAGGCTCCTGCAAGCCCCAGCGCTCTGGGAGACCCCCCGGTCTGCCCTGACCCCCGTCTCTGCAGCCCCGACACCTTCGCCGCTCAGAGGCTCCCCAATCGTGCGACGTCCTGATTTTTTCAGGACGGCGTCCCCAGCAGTCCCGACCCTTTCCCCAGGACCGGTTTCTCATCCTGAGCCGTTCTTTGACAGTCCCGAGGCCCGGCGAGGGCCCCCGGGGGCCGAACATGGCCCAAAACCTCCCGCCCGGATTTTTGCTGCGGCGCGGTCAGGTCTGGGACCTGGGCATCGCTCGGACGTCCATTCCCTGTGCTTTTTTTTCGGTCTCGTGCGTGGCTTTCTCGCCAAAAGTGATCCAGGATGCTCCTCGATGGTCCTCGCCGAAGGAAACATCCACACGTCCGAGCGATGCTTAAGGGACTGGCCCTTCCACCCGCCCTCCCGCGCCGCCGCCCCTGCGGCGCCGCCGGGCTCCGCGCCGCCGCCGCCCGGGCGCGGGCTCGGCGGCCGCGCCGCGCCGCAGAGGCCGCAGGGGCCGCGGGCCGCGCCCGCGGGCAGCACGCCGAGGCACGCGGCGCACTGCCAGCCCGCGTGGGGCGCCCAGCGCCCGTCGCACTCCGTGCGCCGCAGCGCCGCGGCGGCCGAGAGCGCCTCGTCCGCGGCCTCGTCGGCGCCGCGGTCGTCGTCGTCGTCGTCGTCGTCGTCGTCGTCGTCGTCGTCGTCGTCGTCGTCGTCGTCGTCGTCGTCGTCGTCGTCGTCGTCGTCGTCGTCGTCGTCTTCGTCGGCCCTCCCCGAGGCGGTGGGCCAAGGGAGCAGACAGAGGGCCAGAGTCTCCCCAGGTCGGCGGCTCGAAGGTGGAGCACCCGAGGGAGGGGGCCCTGAGGACTGGCGGCCTCGAGATGTGAAGGTTCGGCTTGGGATCCCGTGTCTTTCCCTGCAGGCTTCGGGGCCCCGTCTTGGAACCACCGACCACAGGCGAGAGCGCAATCCAGATCGTCCAGGGCACGGCCGAGCTGTGCTGCTCCTGCTCCGCCTCAACAGGGCATGCCTGTGCCTCGGCTGCTCCCGCCCCCCCCCCCCTCCCGCGGCTGGGGACCCCCAGGAAGTGCCCGACCGCGCGCCTGGTGCCAGGGGCAGCAGGCGGATCCTGGCAGGAGGAAGTTGTGGTGCAGCAGGGCCTCCGCGATCGGCGCTGCCAGGGCGGCCGCGGGGCGGGGCCGGAACTGCGGCAGGACGGCGCGCGGGTCGAGCGGGTCGCCAGGCTTTGGCGCCGCGGGGTCGGCGCAGGCATCGCCTTGCTGCCAGAGGAGCACCTGGCTCGGGCCTTCTGGCGGCCAGCGCGGCGGCGGGCGCACGCCGCTCAAGCTGGACACGGTCAAGGAGTCGGAGTCGTCCTCCTTCTGAAGGCGGGGGCCTTGCGCCCAGGGCGGCAGGGACGCCCGGTTGCTCGAGAGGGTGAAGCTGCACGTGTCGTCGTCGTTCTGCTGGTGCGACTCCGCGCCCTGGACGATCTCCGCAGAGGAGCAGGGTCCAGGGCGCGGCTGGTGAACAGAACCCCCATCGACCTGGCAAGGAGGGGCAGGAGGGACGTGAGAAGGAGGTGGACGAGGGGCAGGAAGAAGCGGATGAGTCGCAGAGGAGGAGGAGGAGGAGGAGGAGGAGGAAGAGGAGGAGGAGGAAGAGGGGGAGAAAGGGATGGTGATGAAAAGAAGGATCGACCGGGTACGTCCTCATCTCGCCAACGATCTGGATGCAAAAGTGGAGGTGAGGCCCTGTCACCTCGAAGGGTATGATGCGTGCCTCGAACTCTCGCGTGGGCGTGGCCTGTGGGGATGAGGGGGAGGAAGGAGGAGGGGAGCGGAGGAGGGGGGCGGAGGAGAGGGGCCGAGAGAGGATGAGGAAGAGTCAGCCTGCCAGTCTCAGCCCTAGCACCTTCACACGCATTACCTCCCTTCGAGCTCACTGTGCTAAATATTGTGCACCTGCCCAAGCTAGACGAGCGCGTTCCACTACTCGCAAAGTGACTACTCGCAACTGGCCTGGATCCCCCGCGGAGGATCTGCGATAAATTACATCGAAGCAGACGTCTTTTCTGACGTTTGCGAGTAGGCACTTTGCGAGTAGTGGACCGCGCTCGGTGACAAGCACGGCGGCGGATGGGCCGAAAGCCACTGGATCCGCCACCCCGTGACCTGCGGAGGGGTGACTTGGCGTGTCAGATTTTGGAATTCATGTTGGCCCTCCGAAGATAGTACAAGTGGCCTTCGGCGCATATCGCCGGCGCATCCCATCGGCCTTCCCGCCAAGGATGGCTCCAAGAAGGCCTTCAAGACGGCCAGTACGGCCCCAGATGGCCTCCACAACGGCCAGAGACACCGAAGACGGCCGAAGATGCCCGAAGATAGCCCAAGAGGCCCCCAAGACGTCCCGAGGGCGGTCCAAGAGAGCCTTTAAAAGGCTTCTAAGAAGCAGATTAACTTTTTCCCTTTCAACGTTCTCAACTTTTCGGGCTTAGCAGTGTCCAAGGTGGCCTGACAGAGCCTCAAGATCGCCAGAAGACGGCCCATGAGACACAAGAGGGCGCGGCCTCCAAGTCGGCCAAGATGCCTGTATATGACCTCCAAGATGATCCAAGATACCCTCAATAAGGTCCGAAGACCGCCCATAAAACCTCCAAGACGACCCTGCAGCACCCCAAAACGGCTGAGCTCCCAAGACGGCTCAGCTCCGCCTCCTCCTCCTCCTCCTCCTCCTCCTCTTCCTCTGAATGTTCTTCTAGGTCGCACCCCCAGACGTGCCGGGAGGGCAGGCTGGGCCTTTCGCCTGAGACTGCCTCACCATTAATGATCCTGAAACTTGAAAATTTCAACACCTCCACGAGGCAGGGCGGATCAATCTCAAAATGAATCCCCCGCCTTAGCGCCGCATATATTTTCGCCGTGTGCCGCAATCTGACGGTTGGACGGCGGTTTTTTCTAAACAAATATCTCGCCTTCGCGCCGCGCGCATTGGCCTTGAAAGTTTACAGCTGCTTCACGGATGGGCGGCTCCTTTTCAAAATGTGGTTCTCGCCTCAGCGCCGCGCAAATGCGCCACACACGGTTGCAACAACCTCACGGATGGAAGGCGGCCCCTCTTAAAACTGCGGCTCCTGCCGCAGCACAGCGCACATTCGTGAAAGTTCGCAACAGCTTCAAGGATGGAGGGTGGGTGGTTTTCAAGATGCGACTCTCGCTTCCGCGCCGCGCTCAATCGTACGAAACGTGAGCACCAGCTCCACGGATGGGAGGCGGTTCCTGCTCGACGTGTGGCCGTTGCCTCAGTGCCGCGCGCGCTCGCCCCGAACGGCTGCAACAATTTCACTGATTGGAAGCCGGCTCCTGTTCAACATTGCGTCTCTCGCCTCAACGCCGCGCACACTCGCCTTCAACCTGTGCAGCAAGTCCAAAAACGGTGCTTCGGCAAATGTTTGAGCCTGTCTGACCCATTTCGGGTCATCAGAGTACGGAGGTGTCCTCCCTGCCCTCGCGCCCTACCTTCTCCTCCCCCGCCTCCTCCTCCTCCTCCTCGTTCCTCCTCCTCCTTCTCCTCCTTCTCCTTCTGCCTCCCTGGCTCCTCCGCCCTCTCCCTCCCTGTGCTCACACCTGTGCCCGCGCCTCAGCGCCGCGCGACGTTGTTTTCAAGCTCTGTGCCAGCCTCGCGGGTGGAGGGCGGCTCCCTGTCCAGAGGTGGGGCTCTCGCCGTGGCGCCGCGAGCAGTCGTCCCCGAATCGTACAACAGCCAGAAGGGCTGAGCACTGATCGTTTTCAAAGCGGGGCTCTCGCCCCAGCGCCGCGCGCATTTTTTTTGTTTACTGCGAGGCTCGCACCTTTCAGAAAGGAACTCTCGCCTGAGGCGCCGTTGGCTCTGACGGCCAACGGCTCGAAACTTCAACGCACGCAGGACTGCACGGATCCCTGGCGGCTTGCTTACAGGGGATGTCGCTCGGAACTTCCCCGAAGCCCCTGAGTGCACGCGTGAGCTGATTCAGCTGTTACACGGATGGGGGATGGTCCTTCTTCGAAAACCAGATGTCGCTGGACAGCCCGTTGATCTGTATCATAGTTGCTCGCGCAATGGATTGAGCGTGTGGAAGATGCAATGGGATTCGTTCTCCAAACGGGGCCCTGGCCCTAATGGCAGGCCCAACCGTGCTGGTATTTCAAGGGGGCGCTTCTTCTAGTGAGCAGAAGGACTTTTGAGGGGCGCATAAGCAGGGGGCTTGGGATGGGAGGGTGTATTGCAACATCGCCCGGTTGGATTCTTAGTATGGTACTCCTCCTCCTTCTCCTCCTCCTTATTCTACCACTCCTGTTTCCCTCTGTTCCTCGCCCCAGTGCTCAAGAGTCCCCCACAACAGCTGAGGGAAGAATGAGTCAAAACAATTGTCAGACACTGGCCAAACATTTCGCCACACAGGCGAACCATTATACAGGGGGGTGGTGGTTCGCCGCCGAAACTACAACTACCACTAACGCTACGACTACTGCTACAACTACAACTATCACAACCACTACAACTACAACTACCACTACGACGACGACGACGACGACGACGACGAGTACCACTACGACTACAACGACTACGCCTACTAACGCTACTACTACTACTGCTACTACTACTACTACTACTACGACTACTACTACTACTACTACTACGACTACTACTACTACTACTACTACTACTACTACTACTATTACTACTACTACGACTACTACTACTACTACTACTCTTACTACTGGAACTACGATTACTACCAATACCAGTATCACTACCGCTTCTTCTTCTTCTACTACTACGACTACGACAGCAACAACTACTACTACGACTACTACGACTACTACTACGACTACTACCAGTACGGATACCACTAAAAGTACCACTGCCTCTACCACTACCACTAGCACCACCACTACCAGAACCAATACCAACACCACTACCACTACCAATACCACTACTGCTGGTACTACTACTACTACTACTACTACTACTACTACTGCTACTATTAATACTACTACTACTACTACTACGACTACTGCTACTACTACTACTACTACTACTACTACTACTACTACTACTACTACGACTACGACTACTACCGCTACAACTACTACTGCTACAACTACTACAACTACAACTACACCTACTACTTCTACTACTACTACTACTACTACTACTATCACTACTACTAACACTACTACTACTACTACTAGTACTACTACTAGTACTACTAGTACTAGTACTAGTACTAGTACTAGTACTAGTACTAGTACTAGTACTACGACGACTACTACTAGCTACGACTACTACTACTACTGCTACTACTACTACTACTACTACTACTATCAGTACTACTACTACTACTACTACTACGACTACTACTACTACCACCACTACCACTACTACTACTACTGCTACTACTACTACTACTACTACTACTACTACTACTACTACTACTACAACTACTACTGTTACTACTACTACTACTCATACTATTACTAGTAGTAGTAGTAGTAGTAGTAGTAGCAATAGTCGTCGTAGTAAGAGTAGTAGTGCTACTACTACTACGACTACTACTACTACTATGACTACTACTACTACTACTACTGCTACTACTACAGCCAGAACCACTAGTACAGCGATTGCGACTATCATACTATAACTACAACGAATACTACTGCTACGGCTACGACTACGACTACAACTACTGCTACCACTACTACTACTGCAGCTTCTACTCATAGTACAACAAGTACTACTACTGCTACCACTAATACAACGACCACCCATACTACTACTATTACGACGGCAGCAAAGACGACGACGACAACGACTAATACTACTACTACGACTACTACTACGATTACTACAACTACGGCTACGACTACTACTACGATTACGACTACGAGTGCTACTACGACTGCGACTTCTGATGCTGCTACTGTGAATCGTATGGCTACTACTACTACTACTGCTACTACTACTACTACTGGAACTAGTATTGCTAATACTGCTACTACTGCTACGGCGACGACTACGCATTTCACATTTCACTACTACTACAACTACTACGTTACCACCACTACTACTACTACTACTACTACTACTACTACTGCTACTACTACTACTACTGCTACTACTACTACTACTACTGCTACTATTTCTACTACTTCTACTACTTCTACTACGACATCTACGACTACGATGGCGGCTACTTGCTCATAGGCCGAATAGGGCCCATAGGGCTCATAGGGCATTCAGGGCTCATAGGGCTGGTAGGGCTCGCAAGGCTCATAGGGCTCATCGGTATCACAAGGCGCACCGAGCTCATACGGCTCATAGGGCGCATGGGGCACATAGGGCTCATAGAACTCATGGGGCTCATAATGCTCAAATGGCTCATAGGGCCCATCGGGCTCATAGGGCTCATATGGCTCGTATGGCTCATAGGGCCCATAGTGCCCAAAGGGCTCATAGGGTCAAGAGGGCTCACAGGACTTCTAGGGCTCATAGACCCCATAAGGCTTATATGGCTCATAGGGCCAAGAGGGCTCAGATGACCCACAGGGCTCGTAGGTGCCATGCGGCCCGCAGGGCTCACAGGGTTCGTAGAGATTATGAAGCCATAGGATGCATATGGAACATAAGGCCCTTAGGGCCCATGGGGCCCATATGACTCGTAGGGCTCATCGTGCTCATAAGGCTCGTCGGGGTCATAAGGCTCATCGGGCTCGCATGGCTCATAGGGCCCATCGGGCCCGTAGCGCTCATCGGGCTCAAGGGCA